AGGTTTGTCAGAGACCGAAGCGGCCGCAGTAGAACTAATAATTTCCTCAGTTGCCACGGCAGTTATTAAAACGTCTTAAAATTGTTGTTTTCGGATTTAAAAAATTGAGTTTGGCACAAGGAAATTATCGGGACGAGTCGCGTACTAGGTCGCTTTCTTTAAGACGTTTCGTTGTACTGTCAAATTATGCAAAGCAGTCGAATTTACGATGACGCCTCCAGGATAAAACAGCCCGTTCAAACAACTTACGATAATCAGTTGCACACTGATAAATCGCTCTAGAAATACACCTATCTAAGTATCTGGTGAAAATAACCAGTCAAGAAAAGAAACTTTTTGAGATGAAGAGAAATAAGGAAGAGAAGAGGGAAATCAAAATTCGTGTAAATTTGTGAAATCCGATGTACACACTACTGAATTTCTACCCTGTATTTATAGGCAGCTACCTGCACCTGAGTGAGGAGAAATTCCTGGTGAGTGGAGAAAATGGTGGGAGAATGAGAAATTCGTGGAGGACTGGATTTGGCAGTTACTGACCAATTATTTTCTTAATTAATTAATATTTATTATTAATTAATTTTCCACCGAATTATATTAATTATTAATTAAATTATATAAATTCGGGTCCAAAAAATAATTCATCTAGACCGGACCGAGCCGAGCCGGCCGGACGGACAGCGGCAGCGCGCGCGTGCGTGTTTCTTGTTGATCATGGGTGTGTCCTCACTCCTTTCATAAAATTGAATGCCCTTTAGGGCCCAACCCAATAGACAAAGTTGGAATATATAAACACTACTAATATTTCCATTCCCTTCAATGTGGGACTAAAATGAATCTTTTCAAATTCACTTCTATATTAGTTCTCACTTGTGTTCATTTATTGCTCATTAATTGTCAACAAATGTTTCCAATTCCCACTCTAATTAATTAAAGTTCCAACATTAATTAATTAAAGTTCCAACATTCCCCCACTTGAATTTAAAAGAGATTTTAGAAGTACGTCAGTCGTTTCTAAGGTTGAGCATAAGCAAAGGTGTCTACGACTTGAACCTTAGCGTAACGAGTAGGATTCTGATTCAACAAGAGTGACACCATTGTCTTGAACTCTATCTCGGACATCAGACCCGCACACAACCTTTCCGTAAGGTGTATTCTTGTAGCCCGTGCTTTAGTGGCCCTGCACGTGTATCCCGGTTCAGTGAATGCTCTAGGAATTCTGCCTCGAAATTCCATAGGAACCGGCCTCAGTTCCACAGTCACATAGGTGAATCTATCAAGAGTACCCCTGTAGCCTAGGTACTCCCTCATACAGAGTATAGATCTCATTAAGAGTTTCGATTATCTCATCCTCTCATTACTTCAGGATTCATGCTTTAATTGCATGATCATTTTCATATTGCTCATAACTTTTTATTACCCATTGAACCTAACTCTTGGGATCTCCAATCATTTAGGTCGGGTTACCATCATGAGTAACAAATTACTTTATAGGCATTAGTCCCATCTTTTTGGAAGTATTATGGACTTTCTCTCTAGCTAATCCTTTCGTCAAAGGATCTGCTAGGTTCTCATCAGTGCGTACATGATCCACTCTCACAGCTCCTTTAGAGATACAGTCTCTAACAGTGCTATGTTTTCTTCTAATTTGACGTCTTTTACCATTATAATAACGATTCTCAACTTTTGCAATAGTCGCGGTACTATCATAGTGGATCAACACAGCTGGTATAGGTTTTTCCCATAAAGGAATCTCAGCTAGCAAGCATCTTAACCAACTTGCTTCTTCACAAGCTGTAGCTAATGCTATCATCTCAGACTCCATTGTGGACTGTGCCAGAATGGTCTGTTTCTTTGATTTCCAAGATACAGCTCCTCCGGCTATACTAAATATATAACCACTAGTAGCTTTGGAATCATCCGATAAGGTGTTCCAATCTGCATCACTATACCCTTCTAGTACAACAAGAAATTTCTGATAGTGTAGGCCGAGGTCCATAGTCCTTTTAAGGTACATCATTACTCGCTCAATAGCTTACCAATGTTCGTTACTCGGCCTACTTGTAAATCTGCACAACAATCCTACGACATATGCAATGTCGGGTCTAGTACAATCAGTGGCATACCTAAGACTGCCAATGATGCTCGCATATTCTGCTTGTTTGACACTTTCTCCAGTGTTCTTAAACAGTTTCACACTTGGATCATACGGAGTGCATGCAGGTTTACAATCAGAGTATTTATATTTCTTTAAGATCTTCTCCATATAGTGAGATTGATCCAAAGAAATTCCTTGGTCGGATCTCGTGATCTTGATACCCAGGATCACGCTTGTTTCTCCGAGGTCTTTCATATCAAAGTTATTGCATAACAATGATTTCATATCATTAATGGCTTGAACGTTTGATCCAAATATAAGTAGATCGTCTACATATAGACATATGATAGTACAAATGCGATTCTCAGATTTGTAATAAACGCACTTGTCACTTTCATTCACTTTGTACCCATTAATTATCATTAGGTTATCAAACTTTTTATGCCATTGTTTAGGGGCTTGTTTTAGTCCATACAGAGACTTATCTAACTTACAGACCTTGCTTTCTTGTCCTTGGATCACAAACCCTTCTGGTTGTTCCATATAGATTTCTTCTTCTAAGTCACCGTTTAAAAAAGCTGTTTTAACATCCATTTGGTGGGCAACCTTTTTCAGAGTTAAGAAAAATTTCATCTTAGCTTGCCAACGTTTGAAATTGGAACCCTCAAACCTGAAAGGTTTGTCAGAGACCGAAGCGGCCGCAGTAGAACCGATAATTTCCTCAGTTGCCACGGCAGTTATTAAAACGTCTTAAAATTATTGTTTTCGGATTTAAAAAATTGAGTTTGGCACAAGGAAATTATCGGGACGAGTCGCGTACTAGGTCGCTTTCTTTAAGACGTTTCGCCGTACTGCCGAATTATGCAAAGCAGTCGAATTTACGACGACGCCTCCAGGATAAAACAGTCCGTTCAAACAACTTACGATTATCAGTTGCGCACTGATAAATCACTCTAGAAATACACCTATCTAAGTATCTGGTGAAAATAACCAGTCAAGAAAAGAAAGTTTTTGAGATGAAGAGAAATAAGGAAGAGAAGAGGGAAATCAAAATTCGTGTGAATTTGTGAAATCCGATGTACACACTACTGAATTTCTACCCTGTATTTATAGGCAGCTACCTGCACCTGAGTGGGGAGAAATTCGTGGTGAGTGGAGAAAATGGTGGGAGAATGAGAAATTCGTGGAGGACTGGATCTGGCAGTTACTGACCAATTATTTTCTTAATTAATTAATATTTATTATTAATTAATTTTCCACCGAATTATATTAATTAACTAATTAAATTATATAAATTCGGGTCCAAAAAATATTTCATCCGGACCGAACCGGCCGGCCAGCGGCGCGCGCGTGTGTCTTGTTGGTCATGGGTGTGTCCTCACTCCTTTCACAAAATTGGGTGCCCTTTAGGGCCCAACCCAATAGACAAAGTTGGAATATATAAACACTACTAATATTTCCATTCCCTTCAATGTGGGACTAAAATGAATCTTTTCAAATTCACTTCTATATTAGTTCTCACTTGTGTTCATTTATTACTCATTAATTGTCAATAAATGTTTCCAATTCCCACTTTAATTAATTAAAGTTCCAACATTAATTAATTAAAGTTCCAATGTGATGAATGTGGTTATCCAAGAACAGTATCTTATTTAATGAGGGTATAAAGATGTCAATGATATTTTAATTCTGGCGAAAACATTGTCTTGGAAATGTGTGAGGGATAGACTTAAAAGAATTTTCAATTGTGAAAAAAATGATGGATTTGTAAACCCTCTTATTGATTGAATAAGTTAATCCTTTATCAAGGTGGCTTTGGGTTGGGATCCACTCCATTTCTTTATTCCTCCATTTTCTCCATTACTATAGTTTGTATGTATATAAAATTGACTAAATATTAATTATATGTCACATGTCTTAGAAATGTGTGTTATTTACACACAAAACTATAGTAATGGAGAAAATGGAGGGACAAAAAAAATGGAGTGGATCTCAACCCGGTGGCTTCGTTTTGTCTCTTTTTGCAGCTTTCCTGTTTGAATAGTTTGTCATTCTATAATCATCTATATTGGAATGAGTATCTCTTATATTCGCTTTAATATATATTTTATTCATAAAAAGATAATTTTAATTATTAACAGATTAAAAAATTTAATTATTATTTTAAATAATAATAAATACTTCAAATAATATTTAAAAAAATATTATTAATATTAATTTATAACATTTTTTTTATAAGATGACTTATAATTATATATAAAAAAATAACTAAATTCGCATGTAATTCTGATCCATTTATATTTTATATTTTAAAATATATAAATATTCTAAATAGAAAAAAGCCAAGAACATGTAATTCTGATCCATTTATATTTTGTATTTTAAAATATATAAATATTCTAAATAGAAAAAAGCAAAGAACATAAATCCAAACATGTCAGGCAAAGTCCAACGTTCATATTTAAACAAAATTATTGGATTGAAACCCCATCCTACGGTTTTGTACAATCATCACTACTTCATTGTTAAGTCAATAAACATTAGATGAAGTTAGATTAGATAAACCACAGAAATATCAACAACAATTTATAGCTGCACTCACCCTTAACCAATAACTGTCACCGTCGCAGCAGTAATTAGTAACGTCTCCCTTTCGTCGACATCAAGTCATAGGGATACGTTCCCACGTACACGACCAAGATAGGTGACCCAATATAAAAATGTTTAAATTTTTCTAACCTAAATCTCAGCGGTTATGGAACTTGGAGAGTCGGTCTCCAGAATAGGTCCCACCATACTTGCGTAAAAAGCGTATACTCTTTTTCTTCATGTCTATAAATTACCACACTCTTTCATCATCATCACAAAGACAGATAAAGATATCTGCATTACATTACACCATAACATGGCTCCTCTTGCGTTCTTTTTCTTGTTCCTTTCGCTATCATTTTCTTATTCAGGTAACAAAGAAGAAACATAGTATCTCTTTCTGTTTTATTCTTTATCAAGTATTGACGTGTTTTTTCTGTTGTGTTTTTTTCTTTCAGAAGCAGGATCTATCGGAATCAACTACGGAAGAATAGCGAATAATTTACCACCACCGTCGAAGGTGGTTGAGCTCTTGAAAACACAAGGTATCAGCCGCGTGAAGCTCTACGACACAGAGTCCACCGTCCTCACCGCACTTTCAAACTCCGGCATCAAAGTTGTCGTCGCCATGCCAAACGAGCTTCTCTCCAACGCCGCCGCGGACCAATCCTTCACCGACACATGGATCCAAACAAACATCGTTAACTACTACCCCGCAACTCAAATCGAAGCCATTGCTGTTGGAAACGAAGTCTTCTTAGACCCCAAAAACACGACAAACTACCTTGTACCCGCTATGAAAAACGTTCAAGCTTCCCTAGTAAAAAAGAATCTCGACAAAGCTATTAAAATCTCTTCCCCGATAGCAATCTCCGCTTTACAATCTTCTTACCCAACCTCATCTGGTTCTTTCAAAACCGAACTAATTGAACCGATTATTAAACCGATGTTGGAGTTTCTTCATCAAACCGGTTCTTCCTTAATGGTTAACGCTTATCCTTTCTTCGCTTACGCTGCTAACTCAGACACAATTTCATTAGATTACGCTTTGTTTAAACAAAACCCTGGTGTAGTTGATTCCGGTAACGGGTTAAAGTATAGTAACCTTCTTGACGCTCAAATTGACGCGGTTTATGCTGCCATGTCAGCACTTCACTACGACGACGTTGGAATAACCGTTTCGGAAACGGGATGGCCTTCGTTAGGTGACTCTAACGAGATTGGAGCTGGTGAAGACAATGCGGCGTCGTATAATGGAAATTTAGTGAGGAGAGTTTTGAATGGAAGTGGGACCCCTTTGAGACCAAATGAACCGTTAGATGTTTTCTTGTTTGCTCTGTTTAACGAGAATCAGAAAACGGGTCCTACGTCGGAGAAAAACTATGGGTTGTTTTACCCTAGTGAGGAAAAGGTTTATGATATTCCGTTGACGATGGCGGGGGTTAATAATAATAAAACGTCGTCGGCGTCGGCGGGAGGGGGTGTTGGGAGGAGTGTGGTTCCGGTGAAAGGTGACGTGTCGGCGGTGGCGAATCGTGGTGAGACGTGGTGTGTGGCGAATGGTGGTTATTCTGAGGAGAAACTGCAACACGCGCTTGATTACGCATGTGGGGAAGGTGGGGCTGATTGTAGTCCGATTCAACCGGGTGCCATGTGTTATAATCCGAACACGTTGGAGGCGCATGCTTCGTATGCTTTCAATAGTTTTTATCAGAAGAAGTCACGTGGGAGTGGCACGTGCGACTTTGGTGGTGCTGGTTATGTTGTTACTCAACCTCCTAGTAAGTCTTTGAAATATTGTTTCTTTATTTAGGACAATTTCTCAATCAGTTATTTTTTTGTATAAAATTTTCACATGGAGTTTTTAATTGTGTTTTATGAATCTGTGTTTGCAGGGTATGGAACATGCAATTTTCCCACAGGATATTGAAAGGACAGAAAAGTAGTGGGGTTAGGTTATAGATTTTGGTTATTTCTATTTGTATTATTTCTTGAGATTATTATTGATTTTGGATTTTATAGATTTTGGTTATTTCTATTTGTATTACTACTAGTATTATTTTTTGAGATTATTATTGATTTTGGATTAATTAATTGGGACTGGGTGGTGTTTTAGGTTTTTTTTTTTTTTTTTACTCTTGTGTGAATTGTTGAATTATCATTCTTATGGTTTATTTTTCATTTATTGGTAGTAGTTAGGAGGAGTATCGATTTCTTTCCTTTGACGTACTTTGTTTGTAATTATGTCTCTGTTCCTTTTAAAACATCTAGTTGCTTTAAAGATAATGTACCAAAAAAATAGATAATGTACCAAAAAAATAGATAACGTACCGGTACCAAATTACGCAAACATCCTTTGAAATATAGTGCTATGAATGCAGATTTTGGAAATTATTTATTGATTATAAATGTAGTCGTATACCGTCCAAATCAAATTAAAAACTTTGATTTCTATACATAATTATGAGTATACCGTCCAAATCAAATTAAAAACTTCGATTTCTATACATAATAACAAGGATAGTTATAAGGATTTAATGGACAAACATAAAGCAGCAGTTTGACAATACAACTCCCTCCAACCGTTTTGTTAATACATTAAAAATATAATTCCCTTGCCTAAATTACAAGAAATTCTTCCTCCAACTACGTTCACAAATATTTTTAATAATTTAATATAAAAAATTGAAATTTAAAGAAGGAGTGAGATTTGAATTTTAAAAAAGTTATTATGTGAGGTTGTATTTACGTCGCAATTCTTTTTTCAAAAAAAGTAAAATAATATTTACTCCAATATTTTATTGAGTTGATAGCTCGGTCAAACTTAAATGATTGTTGAATCCTTCATATGTAACTACGTGGTAGACACGTTGCAAGACAACGGTATAAAAAAGTTGTCGCGTGAATAACACGTCGCAAGCTGCAACGTGAAATTTGTGACGCAAATGTGAATATAAATATTACATTTCAGTTCCCACCGTTCACGCATTTAGGATTTTATTTCTTTGCATTTTCTTTCTCCCTCTTCAATTCATTCTTCTTGTGCATCTTCTTCCTCTTCATTCTCCCTCTTCATTCCAAAATCATTATTTCTTCGACTTCAACCCAACTTTAGCTTCAATTCAAATTTTATAAGATCAAATTGTATTGATATTTTTCTCTTTATGTTATGTTTTGTTAATTAAATTTTAGTTTGTTATTAATATTATTTTATTTTTGTTTTTAATTTAGATTATTTAAAAGAAGACGGTATCCACATGTCGCTTTCATAGGGATATTTTTGCAATTAATTTTTTTTCTTCAGAAATTCATAAATATTTATATATATTAAATTTAAGTTTTATGTTAGATTTATATTTGATGTTTAAATTTTTTTTAATAAACAAAATATGTTAGATTTAGGTTATATGTTACATTTGTTGTATTATTTGAATTTTGATTGTTAGATTTAGATCATTCATATGTTTTTAGAAAAAAAAAACTAATATATTTAAGTTATTAACAGGTATTAATTTGAGGTAATATACTTATATTAATCATATGTTTTTAGGTTATAAACAAAAAAAATATATATTTAGGTTATTTGAATTTTTAGAAATAATAAACAAAATATTAATTTAATGTATTTTTTTTATTTTTTATAAACAAAAATAAAATAAACATATCTAGGTTATTAATATGTTTTTAGAAAAAAAATTAATATATTATTTTATAAAGAATAAATATAATATGTATTAAATAGTTTTAGAAAAGAAATAGAATATATTAATAGTATATACTAATTTTTCAAATTTAATGATTTATTAAATTAAAACAGAATTTTTTTTGTTATGATATATTAATTTATTAAATTAAAATAGATTTGTTTAATATTTTAAAAGATATTAAATTATTTTTTCAAATTTAATATAGTATTAAATATAATATAAGACTTGTTTAATATTTAAAAATATATAAAATATATTAAAAATAATATATTAAGTTATAAATGAAAATAAATTTTTTATTTATTAAGTATTATTTTTTTATTAAATTTAAGTAAGGATATATTTTTTAAAAATAAGTAATTTTTTAATTAGTATGTATTTTTTAAATATGTACTATATAATAAATAAGTATAAGCCTTTTTTTTAATAAAATATTTTAAGATAAGTAACGTAAATATAATTTGAATAAGTATATATTTTTTTAAATAATAAATACAATTTGAGAAATTATGTAATTTTTTTAAAGTAAATGATTTTAAGTAAGTAAAATTATTATGAAGAACATGCATAATCAATACATTAATACAACCAAATATGAATGACAATGTTTAAAATAAATAATACTTAAACAAACAAAGACAAAATACAAGAATTTAAATGACAGGAAGGCATGACGACTGCATTCTTCAGGGAAACTGATATTCCTTTCTTGACTTGATGTTGACACTAGCTTGGCTGCGGCATAGGGTTATTTATGACATTTGGAGTCCTTCGATTGAATGTGAGAAAATTCGAATCAATTAGGTATTGAACTTTGTGTTTGAAGGCTTTGCAGTCCTTAATCGTGTGCCCTTATGATACTCGCAGTGAGCATTAGCATCATAATCTTGTGGAAAGACAGTTGGCGGAGCTAGGTCTCTCGGTGTAATCTTCTCATCCTTCAGCAGTTCAAAAAAGACTTGAGCGTATGACACAGGTAGACGATCAAAGTTTCTCTCTGGCCTCCTCGTCCTTTGTTGATTGGGTTGACGCTGCTGTTGAGCAACTCGTTGTTGTTGATTTTGCGGCGGATACTAATGCCCTTGTTGATGATATGATGGTTCATGAGGAACCTGTTGTGGAGGCATTGGAGCTTGAACAAATGGTTGATAAGGCATTTGAGCATATTGTGCAGCAGCAACATACATATACTGGAAGTAAGGGATTTGAATAGGCACTGGAGAGGGAGCCGTCTGTTGAGCTTGTCCTTTTTTAGCAGAGATAATATTTGTTTCGTCCTCCTTTTTCTTGTATCCATTGAAAGACTTATTAGCTACAGTCTGACTGCTAGAACCTCCTTGGATTTTTCTGTTCTTCAGACCCTCTTCAATTCTCTCATCGACGACCACCAAGTCAGAGAATCCAGAAGACACACTTCCAATCAACTTCTCGTAGTATTGTTCTTGCAAGGTGCCCATGAAGATGTCAATTAGTTCACGGTCAACCAGAGGTGGATGCACTCTTGCAGCTAACTCTCTCCAGTGTTGTGCGTACTCCTTAAAGGATTCGTTGTCCTTCTGAGCCATACTCTAAAGTTGAGTACGATTCAGAGCAAGGTCAGTGTTGTATTTATATTGCTTGACAAAGGCTTCAGCTAAATCAGCCCAAGTACGCACACTATTTCGCTCCAGTTGCATATATCATTCAAGAGATGCTCCGGACAAGCTGTCTTGTAAGCAATGCATCATCAACTTTTTATCTCTAGCATAGGTAGCCAGTTTGCGATAGTACATATTTAGATGGATGTTGGGACAACTAAGACCTTGTATTTCAGTAATTCTGACACCTTGACCTTGGGAGGAATGACAACATCTGGCACCTAGCACATTTCTGAGGCATTCAAGGAAGTTGAGTTGTGCCCTTCCATGACTCGAAGTTTTTTCAGCTAGATCACGACACATTTTAATAGCTTCAGAATCCTGTGCAATAGCAGGATGGGCAATAGGGATAACAACACAATAGTTTTGCACCTCATCATACTCATATTGCAGATTTCTTTCAGCATGAGGGATGGGAATTTGAGTGACAACAGGTTGGGATTGCGGAATAGCTCCAACAGTGACTCCAAATGTTGGAAATGGCTAAGAAGTGGCTTCTTCAGATGCAGGAGTGAAGTTCATTGGTATCCCATAGATGACGGGATTGGGGATATGAACTGAAATCCTTGAGGTAGATCCTTGCACAGGGACAATGTTGTTGGTGGTAGCGACCTCACGCAGTTCTTCTTCCTTTCTGGCTATAACTGTAACAGCCCAAATTTCATTAAATAATTAATTGTAGTAATTAATTGATTTAGTGGGATTTTTATTAATGTTGGGAATTAATTTTTATTAATTGGAATTAATAGAGAATTGAAAGGAAATTGGAAGGAAAGAAAATAAAAGGAATATATAAGTGAGGAAGAAAAGAAAAGGAAGTTAGAAACATTTGGAGAGAAAGAGGAAAGAAAGAAGAAAGAAGAGAAAGGGAGGAGAAGAAGAGGAAAGTGGAAAATCATCAAGAACCAACATCAAGGCTCCGATTAATCGAGGTAAGGGTGAGAAATGTTTCTATTTGATCATTGCATGATGTTATGTATGTTGGGTTGGGGTTTTGGTAGAGTTTTCATCACTTTCCAATTAGGGCAAATGTTGGATTAATCAGTAGATTGATGATTTAATCGGTTGGAACTGAGCAATAACGTCGTAGAATAGTCGGGTAACATGTATTGATGCTATTTGTACTGATTTGGATGTTCAAGGTTTGGTTGATGATGGATTGATGAAGGAGAGGCAGAATAAGGTTCTGTTCTGCGCAGGTTCGCTGGCTCTCGCCAGGCGAAGCCCAGCGAATGCTGGCGAATAATTATGATTAAATCCCAGTGGACTTCGCCGGCGAGTTCGCCAAGCGAAGTTGGATAGCGAAGGTTCGCCCAGCGAAGGTGCTGGCGAATGGTGGCGAATGAAGTCAGTAGCTACTGATTTGGGCTCGCTGGAAAGTCTCGCCAGGCGAAGCCTAGCGAGTGTTCGCTGAGAGAGTTCGCCAGGCGAAGTCCAGGCGAAGGTTCGCTGCGAGGGTTCGCCAGGCGAATGAAGGCAAATTTGACAGCATTTCTCTTTTGCTGTGTTGCTCATGTGGTGATAGTTTGGTAGTTTCACATAGATTGATATTCTTATGATATGATATAGATATGATCTATTGTGAT